ATATCTCAGACCTGATAAATGTAACGGTATCCACAAGTCTCAGGCTCAGCCGGCCCCCCGAACATAGCTCAACCAATCAGCTTTTTGTGTCTTATTTTACAGTTGACACACACACACACACAAACTGATTTTTACATGCTTCAACAGCCTCCAGAGTCAAAGTCCAACATTCAAAATGCTACACCAAGGTGGTTCTTCCTCACAATTTTGCACCCTTCAGCTTCCATCACCCCAAATCACATGCTGGAAATCGGTCATGGGAATCAACACAAATTTATTGCATTTATATGTCACCTTTCCTCCAATGACCTCAAGTGGATGTATATTACTCTCTTATATCTATTCTATTTTACAACAGCCTTGTCAATTAGGTAAGATTGGGCAGAGAGTGGTTTATCAAGGTCACTCAATAAATTCCAAGGCTGTGAGAAAGTTATTATTTCCATCTTCCAGCCCTCAATTCCTTGTGCTACCCACTGTATCAGGTCACTGATTACATTTATAAAGTACCAAGCTATCAAAGGTGGCCCATAGTTGATTGCAGTGGCTCTCCATTGTTCCAGAAAAGCATCTTTCCCATGACAACCCAGTTATTTGCATCTTGGACCGTCTAAATGCAAAACAGGTGCTCTAGCACTAAGCCATACCCCTTATCACTGAATCAAGGCATATTGGAATGCTAAAATCCCACCTTCGCTTTCCAGCCTCTGATGAGCAAGGTATTGATGGCAAACCAACTGTCTGACAAGCCAAATCTTATTCCTGAAAGTGTGGAATGACAAATGATGCTGCCAGAAGGGTAGAATAATCAATGTCTCTCAACTCTTCTGCACTTAGGATGTGATGAAAAATGGGTTGTTAGGAACCACGTCAGTATTTGGGAATGTAATATAACCTTCAGAAAGGCCCCAGTTCTCAACACCCTCCTTCCAATTCAGCATGGGGAGGGAGAAGGTTTCATCAGCACTCCAGTGCTCCAGTGGTGCTGTCTGATAGATATAGAGGAAGAGGCAAACTGAAAAAGCTTCAAAATGTAACAGAAAATAAATCGTCTCCTTGAAACTGACTCCTTGTTACATTTTTCCTATTTATCCTGAACACAGACTTATAAAGTTGCAAGGAACACAAGGGATTTTCTGCTTCAGCCTCTTGACAGTGCAGAAAGCCACCCTTGGGAGGTACCCATCTAAGTCCTGCTTCAAAGCCTCCAATGAAGAAAAGTCTACTAGTCTCCATGAGAGTCTATTCTAGGGTTGAACAGCTCTTACCATGAGAAAATTCAGAATGTTTTGTTGGAATCTCATTTCTTCTGATTTGAATCCATTCATTCAGGTCTTACTCTCTTCAGCAGCAGAAAACAATCTCACTCTATTTTCCACCTGACAGTTCTTCAGATATTCGTAAACAGTTGTTACACCTCCTCTCAATTTCAGTGATGGGGTGGCTCTGATATTAACTTGCCCATTGACTTATGGTGACCTCATGCATTTCAGAAGGGGTCCTGCCGATTCCTTTCTCTAAAACAAGCCACCACAACCTGTGACTCTCCAGGTGTTTTGGCCCCGAACTCCCAGAAGCCCTACCTAACTTGACCAATGATCAGAATTTATGGGAGGTGAAGTCCCAAACACCTGGATGGCTGCAGGTTGTGCAGGTCTGCTCTGAAATATAGCTCATAGCAGCTGGCATTCATTGATGGTCTCCTATCCACATACTAACTTGGGCTATGTTTGCTTAGCTTCCAAAATCAGATGGGATCTGGTGAAGCATTCATTCATTTTTCTCTCACTTTGAATGAGCTATTCATGGTGTTTGATTAAGTTAGGAACAGTGTTCAGCACCTTGGAGAGCTCCTTTAAAGCCGACATGAAAACCTCAAGTGGGTTTAATATAGCTAAGTTTCCCTGGGGCTAAATTAGAAAAGGTAGCAAAGTTTCCATTTGTTTTAGAACATAAGCAGAGCCATGTAAGATCAGACCAAAGGCCTGTCTGGGCAAAGGAAAATGGAAACCTGCTGTATATAGAATTTAGATCATTAGGCCCTCAAGCTCAGAATTGGGGAAATTGACTTGGCAGCAGCTTCCAACATTTCAAGCAGGAGTTTTTCATTACTAGTTCAACATGAGATGTCAGACATTCAATATGGGACTTTCTGGTTCCAAATACGTCCTCTTCTGAGTTCCAGTTCTCCTAGTTTGCTGTTTTCTTCAGTGACCAAACAGTTACCTAAAGGGATCCCATAATCAAGGTATGGGGACAACAGCACCCTTCTGCACATGCTCCTCAATCCCAGAGGTGGCATCTGTTTGTGTCCACTAGATGTAGCCATTATACCTATGTACTACTTTTTCTCCAACAGAACTAGCAATTTGGATATCTCTTTCTTTTCCCAAGATAGCTATTGAAGAAGCTGGCCCTAGCTGTGGTTGAAGTCAAGACAATGAGAGAGGAGAGGAAAGGGAGGGAGGGAAGAAAGTAAAGACAGGAGAGAAAGCAAGCAGGCACTGAAGGAGAACAGTTGAACCTTTCCCAGCTCTTGGTTTTTTCAGGACAGAAATCTATTTGGGGACAATCTATTTGGGGGCCATGGCTCTTCCCTGGTGGCCTCTATTGTTCCCAGAAGAAGGTTCACTGAGAGGGGAGGGGGATTAACCTGATTATTATTATGCATTGTTATTACTCAATTTCTTCAATTCACAGACATTATTGATTGTAATATTTTCACACCACCAATAGAAAAAAAGCTTTTTATACACAGAAAGAGAGAGAGAGCATTGCGATTCTATGATGCATCCCATTTTAGAGATGTTTATATGGGGAGTGAACTGCATCTTAGAATCAAAGAAATACATTACTAATATCTGCGAACCCCACCTCCTCCAAGGTGAACTGAACCACCTAAAATGGCCTCTACAGGTCAATGGAGACTCCATCACAGATATCAGAAGAGCTGCAAAGACCAAGAAAAAAGCTACAAGAGTAAAGACAAATTTTCACTCAGAGGAAAAGTGTTCTTGCCATACATCAAGGGAACCACTGACCGAATAGGGAGGCTGATGAAGAAACACCACATACAAACGATCTACAAACACACTAAGAAAATCTAACAAACACTACGTTCAGCAAAGGACAAGAGGGATCCTCTTACCTCTGCAGTAGTCTACCATACACCATGCAGCTGTGGACAAGTCTACATAGGGACCACCAAATGCAGCATTGCCCGAATCAAGGAACATGAAAGGCACAGCAAACTAACTCAACCTGAAAAGTCAGCCATAGCAGAGCACCTGATCCCAAACATGAATCAAGGAACATGAAAGGCACGGCAGACTACTTCAACCAGAGAAGTCAGCCATAGCAGAGCACCTGATGAACCAACCTGGACACACCATATTATTTGAGAACACAGAAATGCTGGACCACTCTAACAACCACCATGTCAGACTACACAGAGAAACCACTGAAATCCACAAGCATGTGGACAATTCCAACAGAAAGGAGAAAACCATGAAAATGAACAAAATCTGGCTACCAGTATTTAAAAACTCTAGAATCAGAACAGTAAATAAAGAACAACACTCAAAATGTAGGGGGACTCCAGACAAGAATCAATTAGCAGCAGCTAACACCTTCCAACAAAGGATTCCCCCAGGTAGGAAGCAGCCAGGCTTTGAAGCTGCATGGCCATTAAATGCTAATCAAGGTGGCCAATTGCAACACTCACACTTGTCTCAAGCAGACAACAGTTCTGGACACTCCACAGATACATAAACCTCCATTGCCAAGTTTCCAACAGACCCTTCAACCTCTGAGGATGCTGCCATAGATGTGGGTGAAACGTCAGGAGAAGAATGCTTCTGGAACATAGCCATACAGCCTGGAAAACTCATAGCAACCCAGTGATTTCGGCCATGAAAACCTTTGACAACACACAGCGCAAATATATTTCTTCTTCAGGGAGATCCAAAATGGGCTCACACTGGGTTGTTGTAGGTTTTTCGGACTGTATGGCCATTTTCCCTCTCCTGATGTTTCGCCTGCATCTGTGGCAAACTTAAGGTTTCCAACAAACTTCACAATTTCTGAGGATGCTTGCCACAGATGCAGGCAAAACGTCAGGAGAGAATGCTTCTATAGCATGGCATACAGCCCGAAAAACCTACAATAATCCAGTGATTCTGGCCATGAAAGCCTTCGACAATAGACTGGGCTCACAGGATTCAAAGCCATGCCATGGACACGCCTCCCCAGGTGTGATGGCTCTAGTTCAGGCAAGGGCAAATTAGTCCAGGTGTTTTGGACACCAGGAGCCCCCGGTGGTGCAGTGGGTTAAAGCACTGAGCTGCTGAGCTTGTTGATTGAAAGGTCGCAAGTTCGATTCCGGGGAGCGGCGTGAGCTTCCGCTGTCAGCCCTAGCTTCTGTCAACCTAGCAGTTCGAAAACATGCAAATATGAGTAGATCAATAGGTACCGCTCCGGCGGGAAGGTAACGGCGCTCCATGCACTCATGCCGGCCACATGACCTTGGAGGTGTCTACGGACAACGCTGGCTCTTCGGCTTAGAAATGGAGATGAGCACCACACCCCAGAGTCAGACATGACTGGACTTAATGTCAGGGGACTACGTTTACCTTACCTAGGCTGTTAGGAATGGTGGAAGTTGGAGTCCAAAACACCTGGAGGACCCAAGTTGCCCATGCCTGCTCTACTCTCTGCACATGCTCAGAGGCTGGCTTGTATGCCCCCCTCCCTTGCCCCCAGCATCCTTTGCCATTTGGGAGATGGGTTGAGGAGCCCCCTCCCCTCGCCGGAGCCTCTCCTCTCCCTCGGCCTCTTGGGGGCGTGGGGTGACCCCTTCTCTGCCTGGAGAGCCAAGCAAGGGGGAGGCGGCCCCCTCCGGCAAACCCAGAAGGAGGCGAGGCTGATGTCAGTGGCGCCGGGGGTGGGGGGGGGGGGTGGAGGAAGGGAGGGGGGACGGGGAGGAGCCGCGCCGAGGGGAAGGAGGGGGCGACCCTGGGCTGGGAAGCAGTCGCCGCCCCTCCGCCCGCCTTGCCTCCTTCCCTCCCATCCAAGCCGCGTCTGCCTCCCTCTGCTCTCGGTCTGCTCTCCGGCGGGGGCTCGGAGGGGACGATGCATCGGGCGGTGCTCTCCCTGGCGGCTCTGCTGGGCAGCCTCCTCCTCTGCCTCTGCCTCGCCTGGCTCTCCGCCGACGGCTCCAGCGGGGCGAGGTAAGCCGGGGACCCACAGGGATGGCGGGGGTCGGTCGGCTTGCCTCCTGGGAGCGGGGGTGCGGGGCAGAAGGGGCCGCGGCTCCACACCTTTGCCCGGAGCGGGAGGCTCCACCACTCCGCTTAAGTTTGGCTTCTTGCTTCTTGCCCAGGGGCTGGGAGAAGGAGGTCCGAGCCACGACGGCGGAGAGCAGCCCCCGAGTCATGATGATGATGATGAGGTCCCTCCGGTCGCCCAGCGCGCCCCTCCGACGCCCTCCGCCGGGGTCGCTTGCCCCCAACAGGTACAGCCCACAACCTTGGGTTTGGAAAGAAGCGCCAGGTCCAAGCCCTCCTGCTCCACTTCTTCAGCCTTCTCCTGTCTCACTACCTCTCTCATTACCCCCCTCTCTCTTTCCCCATCCTTCCTCCAGGTCTTCCGATTCCATCTCCTTGAAGTCATTCTTTTCCTTCTTTATTCTCTCCTCCCACCTTGTCCCTTCTCTTACTACTGTCCTTCTCCAGCCTTCTCCACCAGCTCTTCCTTTGCTTCATGTCTTTCTCCTCTCCTTCCTCCTCTTCCTCTTCTTACCTTCTTCCTCCACTTGCTCTTCCTCTTCTCCATCTCTTCATCTCCTCCTCCTCCTCTTATTTTCTTCCTCCATCTTCCTCCACATGTTCTTTCTCTTCTCCATCTACTTCTCCCTTTTCTACTCCCCTTCTTCTTCCTCCTCTTCTTATCTTCTTCCTCCATTTTCCTCTACTTCTCCATATTCTCTTTTCATTCCTCCTCCTCTATCTTCCTCCACTTGCTCTCCTTTTTTGTATCCCTTTCCCTTTTCTTCTTTCCTTCCTCTTCCTCTTCTGCCTTCTCCTCTTCCTCCATTTTCTTATCCTCTTCCTCCTGCTCTTCCATCCTCCTCCACTTGCTCTTCCTTTGCTTCATCTCTTTCTACTTTCCCTCTTCCTCTTCTTACCTTCTTCCTCCATCTCTCCACTTTCTCTTGCTCCTCTCCATCTACTGCTCCCTTTTCTCCTTTCCTTCCTCCTCTTGCTCTTTTTACCTTCTTCCTCCACTTGCTCTTCCTCTTCTACATGTACTTCTCCCTTTTCTCCTTTCCCTCTTCCTCTTCTTATCTTCTTCCTCCCTCTTCCTCCACTTGCTCTTGGTTTTCTACATCTACTTCTCCCCTTTCTCCTTCCCTTCTTCTTCCTCTTTGTATCTTCTTCCTCCATCTTCCTCCACTTGCTCTTCCTCTTCTTCATCTATTTCTCCCTTTTCTCCTTTTCCTTTTCCTCTTCTTATCTTCTTCCTCCATCTTCCTCCATTTGCTCTTCCTCTTCTACATCTACTTCTCCCTTTTCTCCTTTCATTCCTCCTCTTCCTCTATCCTCCTCCAATTACTCATCTTCTTCTGTGTCCCTTTCCCTTCACTTCTTTCCTTCCTCTTAATTTTCTGCCTTTTCTTCTCCTTCCTCTTCCTCTTGCTTCATTTTCTTATCCTCTTCCTCCTCCTCTTGCTCTTCCATCCTCTTCCACCTGCTCTCCCTTTGCTTCATCTCTTTCTCCTTTTCTTCCTCCTCTTCCTCTTCTTACCTTCTTCCTCCACTTGCTCTTCTCCATCTCTTCCTCTCCTCCTCCTCTTCCAAACTTCTTCTTCCTCTTCATCTCCTTCCCTCCCCTCTCCTCTTCTATTTGCTCTTCCTTTACTTTTATCTCCTTCTCCCCTTTCCATCTTCCTCATTATTTTCTCTCTTCCTCTTCTTCTTCTTCCTCCTCCTCCTCGGTCTCATTCCTCTCTCTGGCTTACATTTGAGCAAGACAGTTTTGCTGCTCCAAGACAAGCATAGAGTAGATTGAATGCCTGGATTGTGGAAGGCAACCCTTCCTTGCTGCAAGCACTCTGGAGTTTGTGGCATTTGAATAAATTGCTACTACCAAAGTTGAGTATTCCATCTCCAAAACACTTCAACAGAAGAGTTTCATATTTTAGATCTTTTTTCAGGTTTTGAAATACCTGTATTTGCATATAAATACACAATAAGTTACCTTGGATGTGGCACGCAGAAGTAAGCATGCAATTCATTTATGTTTCAGATAAACACATAGCCTGAAGGTGATTTTACACACAATTCTTTTTTAAAATGTGCACGAAGCAAAATTTGTTTACATTCTATCATTAGAAAGCAAAGTGTCACTATCTCAGATACCCATGTAGATGATTTGGAGTTTTGGGGTGTTTTGAATTTTGGAATTCTGTGTCAAGAATGCTCAATCTGTGAAAACCTCCTTTTCCATCCTGCCTCCCCCACTTCTCTGATATTCTGGATCAACACAAGGACATTACTGTTGCATAGAGGGTGCATCCATACTGTAGAATTAATGCAGTTTGATCCCAATTTAACTGAAATACCTTAAAGCTGTGGAATCTTGGGGTTTTATTTTGGCAAGTGATGAGCACTCTTTGGCAGGGAAGGCTAAAGACCTTATAAAGGCTGGGCTTTAGCACAGCTGGTTAATCACGAACAGCAATAGATCTTTCCCAATCGAAAGGTTTGCAGTTCGAGCCTGAGACGGGGTGAGCACCCGATCTCCAGCCTAGCTTACTGTCCACCTAAGCAGTTTGAAAACAGCTATGAGCTGTGAGTAGGGAAATTAGACACCGCTTAAGCGGGGAGGTATTTTACGGCACCATAAAAAGCAGCTGATCAAAGAACAGGAGGAAAGTCTGTGATCCAAAGGCTCATCATCATTATAGAGGATGGAGCAATAGCACTTCCCTGTGGCCAGAATAGAGCATAACCTCCAGGATGCTGAAGTTGGAAAAATGTTGACACATACCTCTATCTCTCTGTCTGTCTTGTATGCCTTAACAACTTGGAACGTTTGACGTGTATGTTTTCTGTGATCTGCCCTGAGTTCCCTTCAGGGTGAGAAGAGCAGAATAGAAATGCTGTAAATAAATAAATAAATAAATAAATAAATAAACTGTTTATTTATTTACCCTATTTCTACCCTGCCTTTCTCTACCTCAAAAGGGACTCAAGGTAGCTTACATCCCATGCCTTAGAACACATACAATTCCAATAAACATTAAAATTAAAATTAATGCATATTAAAGATTTAAAACCATCACATTCAATATTAAAACCACACCATCCATAATCGTAGTTTAATCAGCCATGTCAGTTAGTGGGAACAAACTGCATAAATTCTGCTGTGTAGCTGCTGAACTTGCTGACAGAAAGGTCGACGGTTCGAACCCAGGAAGCTGGGTGACCCAGCTTCTTCCAACCTAGCAGTTCAAAAATATGCAAATGTGAGTAAATCAATAAGTACCACTTCTGTGGGAAGGTAAACAGCACCCCATGCAATCATGCTGGCCACATGACTTTGGAGGTGTCTATGGACAATGCTGGCTCTTTGGATTAGAAATGGAGATGAGCATCGCCCCCCAGAGTCAAACATGACTAGACCTTTGCCTTTACCCTTAGATGCACCACAAGGTGCTCAGTTGCAGGCAGAACGTCTTATTACTAGAATTTTAAAAACATATTTTGTAATTGTCCCAAAAACATAATCCAGAGTTCCAACGGCTTTCTCCCGTGTGATTGTGCTGCTTATATTTATACAGATACAGGAAAGAAATGTAATAGAAATAGTACAACCATTCATTCAAAATGGAAATGTATAGCATTCAAAAAATCAGAAGCCTATCACATTGAGGCTAGCAAAGCCATGATGCTAAATCAGCCTGAAAGATTGTCCTTTACACCCACTTTTGTTTTCTGTCTATCCTACTTGGCTTATCCATCGCTTGGCTTCCCTTCAGCCGTTTCTACTGTGAGTCACCATCCTTGAGATTAGGTGTTTCTCCTTCTTTTTCCACCACTCTAATTGTGATCTGAGAGGGAAGAGTATTTTTCCCTTAGACATTTGGTTTCTGTGCTCCCTCCTCCTTAATGATCTCCTACACATTTAAACTCCTCCAGCTTTAAAACAATTTGGGGATTTGGTGCAACTATTTATTTTTTTCAGAGGATGGGAATGCCACCAGAGAATGACTAATATTTGAAAAGCTGTCTGATCCACGCTCCAACTTTTGCGTGTAAACAAGGCATGGGCAAACTTGGGCCCTCCAGGTGTCTTGGACTTCAACTCCCACAAATCCTTACAGCCTTAGGAAGGGGCCTGAAGCTGTAAGGAATTGTGGGAGTTGAAGTCCAAAACACCTGGTGGGCCCAAGTTTGCCCATGCCTGGTTTAAAAAAGTAGTTTAAGGCCCCTTGGTTGTTATGTGCCTTCAAGCCATTTCTGTGCCCCAAAGACAAACATATCACGGGGTATTCTTGGCAAGAGTTGTTCAGAGAGATTTTGCCATTGCCTTCCTTTAAGGCTGAGAAAGTCATTTGCCCAAGGTCACCCAGTGACTTTCCATAATAATAATAATAATAATAACAGCAGCAACAACAACTTTATCCTTATATTTATTTATTTATTCATTTATTTGTTTACTATATTTGTATATTGCTCTTCTCAGCCCTCAGGCGACTCAGGGTGGTTTACAGAGGCAATAATTCGATGCCCAAGAACATCATGAAACATTTAAGACATTAATACATAGTATAAAACCAAACAAAAGTAATAAAAACATAAGCCATTTGCGTCTACTAATTAAAAACATTATTATTATTATTATTATTATTATTATTATTATTATTATTAAACTTTATTTGCTTGCTTGCATGCTGGTCGCTTCTGATCGTGCTATTACTGCTCAAGCAGGGAGCTTTGAGATGGTTGAACAGAAGCTCTCCGAAGCTCTAGGTGCTCTTACTGCCTATTACAGGGAAAACCAACTGATCCCTAATCCATCTAAAACACAGACATGCGCCTTTCACCTTAAGAACAGACAAGCATCCCGAGCTCTGAGGATTACCTGGGAAGGAATCCCACTGGAGCATTGCAGCGCACCCAAATACCTGGGAGTCACTTTGGACCGTGCTCTGACCTACAAGAAGCACTGCCTGAACATCAAACAAAAAGTGGGCACTAGAAACAACATCATACGAAAGCTGACTGGCACAACCTGGGGATCACAACCAGACACAGTGAAGACATCTGCCCTTGCGCTATGCTACTCTGCTGCTGAGTATGCATGCCCAGTGTGGAACACATCTCACCACTAAAACAGTAGATGTGGCTCTTAATGAGACATGCCGCATTATCACGGGTGTCTGCGCCCTACACCACTGGAGAAATTACACTGCTTAGCTGGTATTGCACCACCTGACATCCGCCGGGA